ATGTATTTAGAACTAATGTAAATCTCATCAACTAGCCTAAATTCATGAGATGTTATTGGGATTACAGCCTAAAATATTGTTAACAGCAAGGGTATGCAAGAAATATAACTGCATTATAATCTTTATGTATAGGAACATAAGAAGGGTGTACTTAATTAATTGTACTGATTGCTAGGTTGATTTTTAGTCTTGTTGTAAGTACATAGCTTGCTCTGATTAGAAGTTAATATTAATAAAATTAAAATCTTGCACTATTACTTTCTAAAATAAACAAAAGTTTTAAAAATATTATCCATTGTGAAAATAAGTATTGTCTGCTGCAATATTGCATAATACTTTTTTTCATAAATGTAAACAAATATAGAGTGAATCACTTATTTTCATCTAAATTGCTTTGTGATGAAATAAAGGGAATTTCAGATAAAGTTTATATATCTTCGGTTTTATTTACAATGTCCCTATTACGTTTAAAGGAAGCTAATGTAATCAGTTTAAATATAAAAATATACAGTATTTTACTTAGAAAAATATAATTTTGATGTTTGTACTAAATAGTTCAGTATACATGACTAGAACTAGGCGATTAATTGCTATAATCAATTACCTTTGAACATCGATTAGTGTCACATGAAATAATCAATTATTGAAATTATGATTAAATCAATTAATGTCATGAAAATAATGAATTATTTCCACTATCCTGTATTCAAAATTGTAATTAAATTGATTAATTTTACAAAATTAATCAATCAAAATTAGGGTTTTTGATTATTCCACCTATCCAAGTAACTAAAATACTGCCATTCTATTTGTTTGTTGTTAAGTGCAAAGCTACACAATAGACTATCTGTGTTTTGTTCACTGTGGGTTTTTAAACAAGTTTTTTCATCGGGACAGGTGCAAATAATTGTTTTTGTTTAATCATCTCTTGAGAATAATTCATTAATTGAATGTAATTGATTAATGAGACTAACAATTAATCAGTTAGAAAATTCCAGTAATAGCACATACCTGTCGTATGTGACGCATAACCAAAACTACTTTCATATTCATTGGTAGCTCTTGTTTATGCAAAGTATTACTAACACCTGATGTATGATATTGATATTTGAAAAACTAGAAAAATATTTTTGCAGAGTCTCTTAAATTTATATAAAGTTGTTTTACAGAAAAAAAAGAAACAATATACATTATAAAGTTGTCAGAAATGATGACAAACAAATAAAAGTCTATAAGTTGCAAATATGAATAATACATAGGATATGATATTAAAGAAACAGTACCTAGAACTGCTGTCTAAAGCAGACATTTTGAGACAATGGTGAGTTTGGGGTAAGCCAAAGCTTGGTAACCAACAACAGAAATGGCCTAGATTAGCCACTGAAGATAGGACCTAGATTATCAGAAACTACTGTTTAATGGAGTTTTTCACCATACATTTGTGTTAAAAGTTTTCATCCTAAAAGAATCATTGCCTTCAAATGGATAGTGTCCAGAGTTGCAGCAATACATGGATTTCGGGCATGGCAGAGGAATATTCTTCTGAGTTGTAAGCTCTCAATGTTCGGTTAGCAGTCAAAAAGTTAATTCACATCTTTTGGCTTATTAAGGGTCATTATGGAAGAATGTAGAAACCTGTACAACAATAGTGTGTGGTTTTGTTGTGATTTGGTGACTTATCAAACTCTCTAAAGCTCATCTTTCCATTTATGTTATTATGATGTACTTTGGCAATATTACACTAGCAAAATTTGTATTTGCACATAAAAAAGTAACTGTTATAATATAACAGTGCCATTTGTTACACCTTTTGCTGGAATTGCCTCAAACCTTTAAAAAAGGAGCTAAAAGATTTAATTATGCAGTAGTTTAAGTTCGAAATTGGGTTTACATCACTGTGAAGGTTTATATGCTTGATTTAGCTGTACTTCTTATGCTTTTAGCTAATCAACAAAAATGCTTGCATTGAAAAAAGCATTTCAGTCAACTTTAATAATTTTACTGTACAGTGATGCAAATAGCTGGTTATCTTGACTGAGAAAGTTGATATGCTTTGTGAAGTTAGGCAGAAGAGTATTCAAGGGTTTTTTCTTGGTGCTTTCAAATTGTTTTCACTATTTCATATGTGCCATCACTAACTTGCATAATTAACCATATCTTACTCGTTTTATGAACTGATATCACGATAAATTATAAAAAGGAAATATAACTTCAGTATATGTGGTAATCTGTTCTTTACCTCAGGAGTTTCACCTATTTTAGAGTTGATTCAATATTTATTTTAGCTAGATAAATACTTTAACAACCCTAAGTAAGACCATTTCTTTCTTGAACTTGTTATATAAACCATGTTTAATAGTGTAAAACTTTTTAAAGCCAACAACCAGTGTACTATATGGCTATTAGAAATGAGCAGTGAGACCTTTATTATCCTACATTCATTAACTACATGTGGGCAGTAAAGCTGATGATTTAATGAATTACCTGTGAGCATCAAATACATGGATTAGTATCACAAAAACAAATTGATTAATCAGAATTAGGGTTTCTAGCTATTACTGTTTTCAATTTTTCTAACAATCAATTAATCACAGTTATGATTAAATCTATTGTCATGAAAATATCAACTACTGAAAGTTAATGTTTCCGGTTATTACTTTTTCAATTATTCCAACAATCTATTGAATCAGTTGTTACAAAAGTAATCAACTAATCAAAATTAAGGTTTCTGATTATTACTGATTTCAATTATTCAGACTATCCAAGTAATTAAAATATCACTATCATGTTTTTTTAGGTTAAACACAAAATTTCATAATGGGATATCAATGTTCTACCCAATCTTAGCCATATGATTTTTTATTTTTTAACTTCAGCTTTATATTAGGTGTGGGGAGGGAGCTCATGATTTAATGGTCTCAAATTCAATTCTCATTGCCACCAAACTTGCTCTTTCTCTCTCTTTGCTATGGCAAAGCTACTGAGGTTATCTGCCATTGTCACTGATTTTCAGCTGCTAACTAGAGGAATGGCAAATTACTGGTTTGATAAATACTATACTAATTGATTAGCAAATAACACTGATTGTCCAGCTCTGTTAGGCAATAGCTAAAATAATATAGCACATGCTACCTAATGTAGGTATAGTAACAAGGCTAAAAGTTAGAAAAAATCCTCAGGAGCATCTGGCTTCTATATTTTTGCAATTTGCTAGCCAATTAAACATTTAGGAGCCATCTAAAATATTCTTAGTTCTGTAATTCTAATCATTCAATAATTTTTTCCATTAATATCAACATAAATAAAGTTAATTTACTAATATGAAGTACTGACTAATGTAGAATGTTAAAAAATACAAAACATCCATCTTCAATGGAAGTTTAAAAGAATAAGATAAAAAATTTAAATTTCTTTTTTTGAGCCAACTGTATGTTTGAAACTGACGATTTTGAAGTTTTTTTAACTTTACTAATACACTGTTTTTGGAATTTGGCATTTGATTTGGTTGTTTATCTTCTCTGTCTACGTCATTTGATGATCTCTCTTTCAAGAAGTTATGAATTGATTTTGACATTGCCAATTACTTATTTGTCCTGAATTTCCTACCAAATAAGTCACATGTAACTTAATAATGAATGTTCCTTGTGCATTCCTCAAGGCAATATTTTTTATTTTATGAGACAAGTTTTTAATCAAAAATAAAGAAGATTGGAAGTTCTTATTGTGGATTCTGGCCCCAGTATCTGTATTTAGTGAATGTAATTGGTGGGCATTCTGAAACTCATATAAGAAAGAAAATCTAAAACAGAAAATTTTAAGTAGAGAGACATCACATGACATGTACTGAAGATTGAGAATTTATTTGAATATTTTCATTTTAAAATTAAGAAATCAAAACTTACATAACATTATAATTTGAATCATAAACTAAAGTTTTTATGCCAGATGTATTGAAACATTGATAATAAAGTTGTTTGATTAAATTTTGAATTCAACTCTGTAAAAGTTGCATGTACATAGGGTTAATATATGATTGTTGAGTCAAATTTTGGTCACTTCTGGCAGCCCACAGCTCACATATTTGATCCATGGGTAAGTAAATTTTCAGAGCCTAATTTGCACATCAAACATTCAAGATTACATGTATTTGTAGATGCAGTTCACACAATGAAGAATATGCAGTTAGTGAAGAGGATACTGTGACACTTAATCAGTAAACTTACAAAATTCACAAACTCAAGATGATCAAAACCTAAGAAATATTATTCATATTATGACTTAATTTGATGACATGTCTGGTTTTGTGAAGTATTTCAGTGTTGTGCATCATTTAGAGCTCAAGAACATTGATATCAAAATTATTGAGGAACACTTGAATTTATAAGTTATATTTTACCAACAGTAGTCATTAAAGTAAGGTGGGTGTACATTATGAATGAACTAACAGAGATTCACAAAAAAATTGTGGTTAAATTAGTATCTTTATTGCAACAGTACTTCTTTAAATACAGGACTTCTAGAGTAATACAAAATAATTCTAATCACAGACATTGAAATCTAAAAGTCCACTTGTCTTAGGCCTAACATTAGTTAAACCTTTATTAAGTACAGCCTATATTTGATAAAAAGAGCGACATTAACACTGTAACTTATGTAAGTTTTGCTTTAGTTAGGACTAAGCTTTACCATACTTTATACAAACAATAAATAAACTTATGTTTTTATTCTACAACCTAACGTTAGACCATTTTAAAAACTTTAATATGCCAATAATAGTTGTATAAAATGTCTACTAACGTATATTTACATCTGCCTTTTTTTTTACATCCGTTGAAGTTTGCACTCATGTGCATTTAGATAGTAAGTTGTGCATGCATTTTTAGGACAGACAAAAACTGAGTATTATTATAATAGATGTTTCTTAAACTCATTATTTTTTTATTATGAAAACAGTTTTATTTATTACAGTGTGATTAATATAACTGTGTTTTATATTGCAGTGAACCCTGGAGTAGTACTGATGACAAACTTTTGAATTTGTACTAAATGCACAACAGCCAGTCATGAGAGAAATAAATAAGAACTCGAAAGTTCTTGATCCATATGCAAACACAGTTCATTTTGAATCAGCTTCACATGTAGGGACACTTTTAGGGGGACTGAATTCTCTCAGGAGCAAAGGTTTACTTTTAGATATTACACTGATTGCTGATGGACAGTCTTTCAAAGCTCATCGTGTTGTTCTGGCATCTTGCAGTGATTATTTTCGTGCTATGTTTACAGATGCTATGAAGGAAAGTAAGCTGAGTGAAATCAGTCTAAATGGAGTTTCAGCAGAAGGTATGAAGTATGTTTTAGACTATGTATATACTTCTCGGTTGGCACTCAGTCTTGCCAACATTCAGGATGTTCTTTCTGCAGCTAGCCATCTACAACTCCTAGCAGTTGTAGAAGCTTGCTCCTCTTATCTTCAGAAACAATTAGATATAGAAAATTGTGTAGATGTTGCCACTATTGCAGAAACCTACTCTTTACGTCAGCTAAAAAAGAGAGTGTACAGGTTTATGTGTGGCAACCTGCTTCATTTCTGTCAAACACCTGAGTTCCAACAATTGTCTCCAAGTCAGTTACAGCACCTTCTAGAGTGTGACTTCCCAGTAGACTGTACAGAGAGTGAAGTTTTGAGAACAGTGGTCAGGTGGATAGAGTACTACCCCCAAGAAAGAATAAAACATGCTTTTCAACTTTTGAGAAACATACATTTTACAGAAATTCCTTCTGCTGACCTAATTGAAGTTGCAGAGTCGCCTGTCATGCAGTGTCTTGTGTCAGGAAATCCACTGTTGGGTCGAGTATTGCAATTCTCCATCAGTTTGACTCGACCCAGAGAAGATATGAATGGAGCTTCTCTTATTAACTCAAGAGGAATGGAATTGGCACTAGTTAAAGTTGGTGGCTTTGGAATGTCTGGTGTGACAAATGAGATAACATATTTTTTACCAAGTATAGGGAAGTGGCGATATCTTACTTCTATCCCTCATGTAGAACAATGTAATTTTGGAACAGCTGTCTTAAGTAATGAGCTTTTTGTTGTTGGTGGATGTTTCAATCAAAGCCTTCAAGAAAATGTGCACCCGTTTGGCTTTCGCTACAATCCATTAACAAACCAATGGGCAACCATGGCACCAATGCAAAGAGAACGGTGTAGGTTTTCCTTGAGTGTCGTCAGAGGACACTTGTATGCTGTAGGAGGAGCTGGAGAAACAGGTGATGGTGATCTGTTTGATGAAAGTGCCCCATGTGAAAAGTATGATCCTATAGCAGACACCTGGAATCCAATATCAGTTTTGCCAGGTGGGAGGACTCAACATGCTGGAGCATCCTGGAAGTCGTATCTCTACATATCTGGTGGCCTTGACCAAGACTTAGTCCTCAACTCTCTAGTGAGATACAATACAGAGACTGACCAGTGGGAAACTAAGGCACCAATGTTGACACCTCGAGCTGATCATTCCATGGTTTGTTACTGGGACAAGTTGTATGTTTGTGGGGGCTGGTATGAAGATGATACAACTGGAACTCGAGTATTGGTGGACAGCATTGACTGTTATGACATCCACAAGGATCGTTGGATTGTTGTCTCTCGCGTCCCAACCCCTCGTTACCATGCAGGCATTGTTGTTATTGGTCAGTGGTTGTACATTGTGGGAGGTTTCCATAGTGACACCACCTTTGATCGAGCTAGTGGTGTAGTTGAGTGTTTTAACTTGGAAACTGAACTGTGGACTGTTGACCAGCATTATCCTCAAGACATCTGGGAGCACACTTGCTGCACCATGTTTATCCCACGATGTCGAGATGATTTGGAGGTTATACCTGATAAAACGTTACAATAAGGTTGTGAAACAGATAACTGGTGGCTGCCTTTCTCAATATTACTTTGCACTGAAATTGTATTTAATGTACATTGTATATAAAATATAACCTAAAGTGTATTGCTTCCACTGTTTTAACCATGCATATCGTAACCACCACCACCTACCCCCTACTTTATGTCCACTGAATCAGTTTTACAAGGAGTAGGGGCTTCTGTCCTGATTGTTTGATTAAAGTAAAAGTGTATATATATATATATATATGATTGAACTGATCACTGCCTATTATACTATGTAAATGTGCACAGTATATATCAAAGTTATGAGCATAAGAGTTAATCTTCACAATGTTTGTTTTAATTGTAGATTTTTGGAGCAAAAAAGGTATATGTTACTCACAATAGCATGTAGGTATCTAATGGTTTGTATACAATGATAGTGAGCAACAGCAGATATATTTTGCATATTGCACAACTTGACTATCAAATGTAGATCCAGAGAAGAAAGTTTGATTCTCTTAAGCAAATAAAGTTTTATCCATCAGTGAGTTTTTCAGTTGTGGGGTAAAGTAGGTTTGTTACTGTATATAGTTAGTGAGGTTTAACTGGTGTGATAGGTGTCTTGATCCATCCAGAAGTACCAAAATGGAGAATTCTACTTGAACTGCCTCTTCTTCTTCTTTTTTTTTTTTGTTGCATTACTTAAATTTATTTATTTTTATAGGATTAATCAATCTGGGCCAAATTACTGCATTAGAAAACACTTAGTCAAAATATGCTTTTAGCTGATAAAAATGTGTTTTGTAAGTTGTTTTCTTGATTCTAGTTCCAGTTTCTGTACGTGTAAATACAAAAAAGGGTGACTAAAAGCTATAGTTGTATATATGTAAATATATGTAAACATGACAACTTGAATACATACTGTTTGTATAGTTTCTTTTGTTTGTTTTTTTTGTTGGTTTTTTTCAAAGTGGATGGTCATCTATGCCTGTGTTAGAATACACAACAGTAAATGATTTTATATTGTTTCTTTGTTTATAGCTGCGTATCTTCTACTGTATATGTACTTGTACTTAACAATTTACTTGAATGCTCACCTGAGAACTTAGTTTTCTATTTACATAAATGTTACATAGTGCAGTATTAGAGGAATATTGAATCATTTAGAGAACATTGAAATATTACTATACAATAAAAAAGACTAGAGTAAATATAAAAAGATAATTGGTGCTAAAAAGTTTGTAAGATGTAAAGCTCACTTAAAGGTGAATAAAATAAACAGACTGTAAAAATCAGTACTTTTGTACTACCAGTGTACAGTGAGTAAAGAAAGCAATATATGTAAAAATCACTTTTTGTTTCTTCAGAAACTGATGGAAGTGTTAGAGAAACATTTCCAATGGTTAATAATATGTTAAATGGGTACAGAATCTGGTTTCTAGTTAGCAAACATAGTTTTATTGTTTGTTATCCTACGAGAAAGTGTACATAATTAACTAATGAACCTGTATACTACTGACACACAGTTTTAAATTTTTCATTATTATATTTAAGACTAAGTATTTCAAGATATATAAATGTATTCCAATGTGTTTACTAATATGTATAAAATTTTATTATGATATTCTAATGCCTTCTATACATGAATATGCAAAAATGAAATTTAGGTCTTGTTAATGGTTGAAAAACATGAAATTAGTTTTCGAACAGCTCCATTTTGGATATGTAATTTTTTTTTTTTTAACCCATTGACTGTTGATTCACCGTATCGGATATGGTCCACCTCCATCAATTGAATGCGAGTGTGCTAAATACAGTGTACAGCTCGCAAGAATTCCTTGCATTTATATCAGCCACAGTCAAAGGGTTAACAACACAATTTAGACAAGTACCTTGCAGAAGTTAATGATTTCTTAAAAGTTGATTTCAAGTTGAATTGTACTAAAATGCTATAACATGTCAGTTTACTCAAGCAAGAATTGTAATAATTGTATTAATTTTACTCAAAAAAATTTTAAGCCAGAGGTCTGAATGCTGGAATTATAGCATATGACAGAAAAAATACAAAATTGGTTCTGGAATAAACTTTTGAATTTTATAAAAATCATTATACATGTGTATATTTAGAAGTTATTGAGTCTTTTTGAAAGGCATGTTGAAGAGTAAGTATTTGTCATGTAAATACTTACATGCAATTAGTCTTCCACATGTAGAAAATTAAGAATTGTAAGGAAAGGTGCTTGCATTATATAAATGTAGCAGAATGTCCATATGAACTGTGAATAAGGTTAATATTAGTTAAAACAAAAAAATTGTCATTAAAGGTAACAAATTGCAAGAAGTACTAAGCTGGTAGTTTATTAAAGTATTGTTAATATATGACATCAGATATGAAATTTCACATTATATGATACCCAACAAAAGATATATAAAATTAAATATAATAAGTAAAAAAGTTTGCTATGTGTATATGTTTGTGTGTGTGGAATTTTAATATATTTTAATCTTATTTCATATTGTTGTTTCTGTTTTCATTTTATATTGGTTAATTTTTTTATTTAAAAAAGTTACTGGCTGTGTTTTGTTATTTGCCATTACCAGTCAGTTTTTTTAAGTTTATATATATATATATATTGTTTTCTTTTTTGATTAAATTATCATAGTATAAGTGAGCAGTGATCTGTGTCTCTATTAGTGCCTTTTCTAAAAACCATGCACTTGCAAAATGTTTTATTGAATAAAAGTGATAAGTAACAGGATAAAATTTTATATTCAGTTGAATCAAGAATTATTGTGGATAGTTATTTTATAGGTATATGTTTTAACTCTGTAATGTGGAGTGTGATTTTCAAAATATAATCATTATGCAGCCTTCAAAAGGCCTTTGCTTTATCTAGGTCATAAGACAACTTTACAAGTTATATGTTTTTTATTTTGAAACATAAGTTAATAAACCATTGAATTAAAGTTGCATTATCAGCCAAATAACCCTTGCTATGACAGACTAAGCCAAAACTTAAAAGTTTTTATTGAGTTGGCAAGTTGTGTAGAAACAAATGTTCATTTACCTACAAGTAGACAAAGATTAACTCTTTTTCACTTGTGTTTACTGGAACATAGAATTATATCACGACATAGACTGGCCTAATAACAATAAGCATTTGCTAAACACAAATCACAATATTCTTTTTAACTAAGTGACAACTAACCCTCTTCTTACATAGAAACAACAACAACTTTATTTTTATTAGGTGTTCGAGTAGAATTTTACCATTGTTTAGCAAAATGACCCTGAAAAGTCTCTTGCCTTAATCCACATGTCCCCATGAAAAGAAATTACACGTGAAAATGTTCCTGTGCTGTTCCAGTGTATAACTACTTGCCATTTTTCACATAGCATTTCTTGCACAAAAGACCTGACTAGTACTACATATTGCAGGAATATGCACTGCATATTAATTCCAACATCATAACCAAGCAGATATACCTAAACTGTTCTTTTTTTTATTTCTTATATTTAAAATGATTATTTCTACCAACTAATATGTTTTCTAAATTTTTAAAAAGTTTATCAATATATTTTTAAAATTTAAAACACAAAGTAGATTATATATAGGCTTATGTTATTCACAGTTGATGGTTTTTCTTGCACTGACAGGGCACTTTATTAGGCCCACCCCACCTAATGTCTTATTGGACCACCTTTCACCATGCTCATATCCTTGACCAGTATGAAACAGATTCACAATGGGATAATATTATTCTCTCTGCACTTGGTCCACAGTTATTAGAAGAGTATTACAGTAGCAAACTTAATGTTCAATTTTAATTTTAAAAATTCTACTTAAATTTGAGACTTGATTTTTATGCTAGTCAAGGAAGATAAGTGAAATCCTTCCAATTCTCTTCAAATAAATTTCAGTCTTTATGAGAATAATTAATTTTTGCAATATCATTTTGTATATCAAGGTGGAGATGCAGCAATGTAGGGTGAACATTACTGGCAACAGTGTTCATACATTATAAGTGTTGTTTGCTTTTTTAAAGGAATCAAAGAACCTAATTCTTGCCATAATAATATTTTCTACACAATTATACCACCTGTAATAGCTTGCATTGTTGAAACCTCACAACTGGGGTCAAGTGTCTGATGATGTTCTTCATATTTTCTTTACCATCAGCACAGAAAGAGGTAAAATGTGATTCATCACACCACATCACACACTTCCTGTCATTTTTGCCCTTGCTTTGCAATATAAGCACTTTGAAGGTTGAATCATAACTATTGAAGGAATCAGTCCATTGTGGAAAATTGACACCTATTACATTTTAAAATCTTGTGTAATTCTATTAACTTTTGATCAATCATCAGGCAGCCATAAATTTCTTTGTGGCAAACATTTTTCTTACTTGAACAGCCAGTCAAAGAAATGGTGTTCCTGCTAGATTAGCACTGGCTACATGTTCTTTGTAAGTTTGACAAATACTCTCTCTCTCCTCTCTTATCTTTCAGACTACATATCTGTATTTATAGAGCTTATACAATCACCAGAAATATCACTGGATCAGTTTGTTCTTAATATGAAAATAAAAGAGGGAGAGTTTATAAATATTTTGAAGGCCCTAATAAAGTTGCCTTTCAGTGTAGCTTGCCAGGGGATTATCACTCTTTAAAAAAAACTGGTAGTTTGTGTGACATTAATCACAAAAGGTCTGATATTAATTGTTTTTAAATAGTTTGTATATTGCATTCCCAGCCAACCTGATTAGCTCTGATATTGAGCCAAAGGCTTCTTGGGCAGTAGCATGTGGTGCATGAGATATTATCATTGTACCTTCTTATTGGAAGCATGTAGTATAGGGCCATTAATGAAAGATTATTATCAGTATTCTTGTGATGTCACACAAATTACGAATCAGTAGATCATGCTTCACCAGATTAAGGCATTATATAACATGATAACTATGAATTCCAGATTTAGTGGTGTGAATCCATAATCTAGATGTTAAAAGTAAAATACTCAGTTATAAGTATAAAATAAAATGGTAAGTAAAACCCAACAGCACACCTAGTTTATAAACAAAAATGTTGCACTGAATAATACATGATAAAACTAAAGAAGACTATAATAAAATGACAGCACGAATCTGTCACAATTTTAATTCTGTTTAGAGTTCGATAACTATCACACATCTGTTCGTAATAGACATTTTTCTTACCATCAGAAGGTACAAACGCATCACAAAATGATGTGGTAAAAGTTTCAAATTGTTCATTGTTCAAACATCAAGTTTTTTACTTTGATGATTATATTAGCCAAGGAATACAACTGAAATCAGTAGAATTCACATCAAAATAATTTCAGACTAGTGTACATGATTGAAACTTTGCTCATGGTAATGAAACAAAAACGTGCGAGTACGTTTGGTTAAGAATTAGACTACATGTTTGAATGTTAAGTTTGCTTTACTAGTAGGTATTAATAAAAAGATAATAGAAAATATGATAGTCAGATAAAATGTTCATATTATTTACATATGTAGTTATTGCCCTTTGGTACAAATCAGTTTCAAAATAATAATTTCATGTACTTTAAAATATTTCCTGCTGCCATCTATGTTTTTAAATGTAAACTGTTGAACACAATGATTTTTCGACTGTGAAGTAATAAATCATTCACATGTATCATTTTCAGAGCTTTTCAAATAATATGCAACGTGATGAAACTTTGTTGAATGGACGTCAACTGCCTGTTGTAGAAACCCAAGTGTAGAGGACGACGTTTCGAAAGTCTTCTGCCTAAACAATATCTCAAAGAATAAGCAACGTATTTTCTATCACCGGTTAATGAGGGAAAGTACTTACTGTTTTTTCATTTGTGGGACTTGGTTTCGAATTTATAACTATCATAGTTTATTTGACTACGGTGGAATCTCGTTAAAATGCGATAGTCGGGGTCCACGAAATGCGATTGCATTAAATGTGGGGTCACGTTATTTCGGGTTATCCAAAAATGGTCATTTTCCATGTTTCTTGCATTGTAATTCGATACATGAGATGCAATCTTATTCATTTGAGATACCCAAATTATCGCCCAGTTCTTGTTACACATTCCTTCATTTTAAGAACAAGAAAACATAAGCTACGGTATTCCAAAATTATCACATTATTGAGTTTATTAATTACACTGTTGACATACAGTACAACATATATTGTTTTGTATAGACGAGCACGTGGTGCGTGAAAATATAATGCTGAACATTGTTAACATTTCATAGGCCTAAACTTTAAAGAATAGAAATCAAGCTCATAAAACTTGCAGCGATAAAAAACAACGCAAAATTACATAAAAAACTAATAACACGTGAAGTGTCTCAAAAATCTATTGTTTATTTTTTCAAAAAAATCATCTAATGTTGATTGTCTCATTCCAGCTGACTTTTGGCTACGAGCAAAATCTGTAGTATGCTTCTTAGCTGTAAGACGCGTATACTGTCAACATCTTAGCTTCCAAGCCATGGAAGACGAGCTTAGAGGTGTTCTTTTGCTTCAGTGACCTTTGGAGGTTGAGCTGGCAAGTCGTCTTTGTCGTCGTCTTCGGTAAAATCTGGCTCTGGTGCTGTTTCTTGTTGCGTAGCCACGTTATGAACAATCTCTTCATCAGACACGTGCTCACAGGTTGAGCAATCGTCATCTGCAGACAGCCAGTCGATGATGTTACAGCGGATATACATGTACTGATCCAAAACTCTTTCAGCCAGACGTGAGTCCTCTTCCGTGAACCTTTCAAAACCAAACTCCTCCTCCTCGGGAAGGTAGTACACTGAAAAGCCGAACCAAGATGCAGTGTGGAGAGATGGAATCACTTTGAGTGGTTAGTGTGCGATGTGGCAGTACAACCTCGTTTTATTACAGTTGTAGATTTGTTCGCAGTGTATTCACCCTCCTTCAATAGCGCTTTCAACTCCCTTGGGTAAGAATCGGCAGCGGTAAAATCTGCTGAGCGAATTTCTCCAGATACAAGAACTTGGCTGATGGCGTGCCACTTTTTGAACCTTTCCGACCAGCCATTGCGGCTTTGAATTGAGAGCTTTCTCCATTGATGTTAG